GCCCCTTCAGTCCTCCCCAGCCCCCGCGCAACCCCGGACCTCAACTGAGCAAAATCCAAGCTGAGTCAAGCCTGATTTGGTATTTTCAAACACAAAGAGACACCCACGGAGGGCTAACGGCGTGGCCCAACAAGACACGTGTTTTCCTTTCCCTATACTTCGCTAAATATAAAATCTCCTATAGAAATTAGAGACGTCTGACTGTCATGGAGGTTCGAACGAGCACGGTAAGCTTCCTAGAGAACAGCAGGACCGAGGGTGACACTTAGTGCACTTCACTTGCGCCACGTGCTGTTAACAGCCGATGCTTCGCGACTCTGGGATGGCGCTTTCCAGCTCACTCAAAATGCCTAAAAAAAAAAGCGTGTTTCTGCCGAGTCCTGACAGTCCAGAAATGAAATGCAGTTCAGCACACATTTGTGATCTCTGCTTTAAATGGTTCCTGGGATTACCGATAATCACACAGTTACTGAGTTGCTTTAGTGATCTAAGCTCTTGACTCCTATGATTAGTACAGTTGCCTTTTTCTGTATTTACTGGTGGCAAATCAAGACACTACCTTCCTTAAAACAAGGTTACAGCAACTGACTCCTTGAAGAGGAGAGGATATGCAAATCAAAAACACCAGCCAATATTGCACAACCCAGTATGCCTTCTGGAAACAGCCAGGACACAAGTGAAAGGCAATTACTTGAAAGGCTGGTACAACGTTAACGCCTTCCAATTCTGAAAAAAACTGAGCTAAAATTTAGAGCAACGAAGTGAGCCCCTTCAGGGGTTCCCGCTTCGGTGCTCCGTGATCAGTCAGTACAAACATTTCGTTTCTTGATTATCCATTTCTTCTCTTTGTCCAGAGAAGACCAACAGGCTAAGATTTTGCTGGGGGTTTGCTCCCCCATCTAGAGCAGAGCTCAGCAAACATGCTGGATAGCAGGCTGGGGTTAATGAAACTGCAGTAGGAGTCAAACACTACCTCCTAAAAGATTGAAAAAATATTTTTAAACAAAATAATGTGACATATTTACATAATTCCTTAAGTGCAAACTCTTGTCACAATTCACGTAGTTGAGCTCAATTTAGACTCACTGTACAAGAAGGTGCTCTTTCTTTAATGAAAGAAGAACTCTACTCTGTATTCCTGATTCAGTAACGTGTCTCTTGTGCAAGGCAGTAAATTTCCTGTTTCTTCCCAAGGTACTTCCGAAAGCAAAACCCAAAATCAAGCCATCCTCCTCCCCACTTCCTGTCCCGGTTACCGCACGACGAGGCAGGAGACACAGAGCTTAGAGGGGCCAATGCAATCGTCATGGCAGAAGGCACCGCAGCCCTTGCACATGATCATGGCTTTCAACCTGCAGTAACATTTGGAAGGGGAATCCTCCATGCTGTTGTCTTCAGCGAAGGCTTGAACGGGGATGGTCTGAGCGTGGTTGCCAGAGTTCATAGCTTGGCTGGTGGGAATGGTGGTTACAGTCACAGAAAAGGACATGACGTTCCCCATGCTACTAGACAACTGATTGCATTCAGACAGCCCGGTCATAAGAGACCCTTGGTTCACGTCCGGGGAGGTGGAGACGTTTATTGTGCCACTGTAACTGGGCCCAATGAGCTGTGCCGCAGCGTTTCCCGACAGCTTGGGAGGGTGCGAAGGAGAAAGCAGCGGAGGCTGCTGCTGCGCAGAGTCCGAGGACGGCACAGAAGTACTGAAAAGCTCTGGATTGCTGTGCATTTTCCCCCTCATCGCGTGTGCCATTTGCTCTTGAGCGGCTTGAATAAAATCTCGTGCTAACGTAGTTCCGTCAAACGCCTGAACGTTCTCCTTGTTGACCGCCGCTTGCTGAGACGTGGCTGCTTCTGTCTTTACACCCTTTTTAGCAAGGCTGCTGTAATCCAAAGAATTTATGCTGTGCGGTACCTGTTCTTTTTCACACTGGCCAGAAACCTGGGCAGCCTGGGGCTCCTCTTTCACACTGATATGCTCACGTTCGTCACCAGTACTCTCATCATCTGCATCTCCTTCATCGCTGCTGCTGCCGCCGTGGCCAGCTATCCCCTCACATTCCCCAAATTCTGGTTTTGGAGCATCAGCAGGACTGTTCAGACACAAGCGGTTTTCAGGGTTCAAGGAGAAGCCTCTCCTCAAACTCTCTGAACCACGACCATAGGTGGAAATGTTGAGCAGATAATGACCAGACATAGCAGGCTTCGATGTCCTTCTGCCCATGAAACCCAGCATAAATCTCTGGCTGGTGGAGCTGTTTTCTAACTGGAAACCTGAGTGAGCGAGGTTCAGTTGTGAAGGCTGAAGGACTGGCAACAAATTCTGCCTCTGGACCCTCTTGATGAGAGTCTGAAGGATCTGCTCTTGGGTGGTTTTGCTGAGCGCCTCGTGGCACTGGTGCTGGTCAAGACTGGAGTCCTTTCCCGAGGGGAGCGGAAAGGTCCTTGGAATGTGAGGCAGAGGCCTGTTCTGGCAAAAGATCTTCCCGAGCTGTTGTGTGGGTAAACTCGATTGTCTTTCACCACCCTCGGCTCCAGTGCCGCTCCCTGCTGCCCCGGATGCTGCTGCTGCCCCTTGTTCTTCATGAGATGCTAAAGGGACAGTTCTCATCTCTGCTTTGGTGAGAGGCTTCGGCAAGATTTGCTCCAGAGGGACGGTCTTGCCTTGAAGAAGTTGGGTGACTAAAGGGTTGTTGGCAGGAATACTGGAGCTTGGTTTTGGGAGGGCCCCACTTGAGCTTGAACTTGCAGGAGTTTTAAGGCTAGGCGCTACTGACGAAGCGTGAGAGGGTGGGACAGATGCAGCAGATGTGATCGCACCTCCAGCCTGGGCTTCCGAGCTCGTGGATGTTAGCGAAGACACCAGAAGGGAAGGAGATTTGCTTTTCGAAACATCTAAGCTGGTCCCTCCTAAGGCTGTAGGTGCTACCTTAGTTACATTTGTGTTGGTATCTGCTGCCGACACCGTGACGCAGACTGTTCCATCCCTGCCAGCTGATGCCCCACAGGCCTGGCTCGGACCTGCTGGAGCAGAAGGTGCTTTCCCTTGTTTGTCACTGCTACCAGCGCACGGGGAGCCTGAAACCTGATTTACAGCCATACCGGGGGGGCTGGGTTTTATTCTGTTGATTTTCTCTAATGCCGATACCGCGGAGGAGGAGGAGGAGCTGGTGCCTGCGTTGCTTGCTGGAGTTCTGGATTGCAGTGTGGAATTTTGCTGTAGTTGTGCTCTAGAAGGACTGTGAGGTGGTGCCTGGTCCGCGGCCTGGGTCTCCATTTGGGTATGGGTCCCTGGACAATGGGGAAGAAACCTTCGCGAACTTCCCCCGCTTCCAGTTCC